GTGGGGTAGAACAATCTGGAGAAGTTGTCCAGTGCAGCCTTGCTGGTGAGGTTTTGTGACACTTGAGCCTCCTGGGGCAACCACAAAGCCGTTTTTACTGAAGGAGGGATCCCAAAGATGAACTCTCTTCATGACGAGGCCCTACAAGTCCAGTTGGGGCCAAGTTAAACCTGGTCTGACTGACCTCATTGAGGACTGGTTTTGCATGACCGATGACTGTGACTCTCTTCTCCGATACCAGGCAGGTACAACGCCAGGCAGGTCCGCTCTCCAACAGCATTACCACCCAAAAACAAAGTTCAACAGGATTGGTCGGAGTTGTTTGGGGAGAACCAAATTCAGGTTTGATTCTTGGGCGAGAAGGAGGTTTCCCCTCAAGCCCGCGCTCTTCACTTCTGAGGTACGAGTTGAATTTCGGTGCCACTTCGCCTCCGGTGGCGGGGGACATTCGCGAAGTACCGGATGCAGACCTTCCGGAGGCGCAGTAGGGTCCGTTTTGGCCGTGTTTTACAAGGATTTGGGGGGTCTGGCCGTGTTTTTGCTTGGGTCTCTTCTTCGAAGGACTTCCTCACTTCCATCCTTGAGCAGAGAAAAAATAGCATCCCAGCCGTCCCAGCCTCCCCACAGCCCCCTCGCCACGGACCTCGGAGGTGGACCTTTTGGTGGCAGGGTTCCCCTGTCAACCCTTCTCGGCCTTGGGCTCTCAGCCGGCCTTCGAGGACGACAAAGGCTTGCTTTTTCGAGAGATCGTCCGAGTTTGCTGGGCTGAACTCAACGAATGTGGATGTTTTTGGATCCTTTGTGTCTCTAGATTTCTTTCGCACAGGGCACAGGGCCAACTTTTTTGACCTTCTTTTGCCTCCAACTTTTGGACCAAACCAAAGCTGGTTGACCTCCGGACCCTTTTCTCGGGCGTTTCCATCGCCGGTTGCTTTCGGCCCGGCCTCGGGGACTTCGGGACTTGTTCTTCTCGCTCTCGCTCAGGTCCTGAATGCCTCGAAGGCCAAGAGTTTTTTGCTGGAAAATGTGCCAGGGTCTCGTGGCGTGACGAAGAGTTTTACTCTCTCTCTCTCTCTCTTCCAGTGAAAGACCCATGGACATGACATTCTTGAAATGCTTGATGATGGTTTTTGATTGCATTCCATGATCCTCAAGAGTTGTTGTTTTTCTGATTCATATTTTTCAAACGACAAGAACAGGACCCTTTTACTGAACGACTTGAAGGGCTGGCATGGTTCAACGGATCAATTGCGGGGCTCATCAGAGTTCAGGGAGTGCACCCAATTTGGTGATCCATCTGTCACCAAAGCTGAAGGTTCTGGAAGTTCGTTTTGCTCGTGATAACTGGATCCACTGGCTTGGTAGAGCTTATCTCGGTCAACAGCTGGGTGCATCAAGAATAATGAGGATGTTTGGGAAAATCACGATTTCTTGTTGAGATTAAACCATGGTGGTGTTTGGATGTTTTGCTTTACTATGGCCTTACTATGTATACCTCTACCAGACATTTTGAATCCCTGGCTTTGAGGCTTCTGGACTGTGACGGGGGCCGGGCCCTTCAGCAGATCCAGCACGAGCTGCAAACGGTGGGCCTGCACGACGGCCAGCCGGGCTATGCGGTGCATGTGCGGACGGCGAACGCGCGCAACTTGACGGCGCAGTCGCGGAAGCGGGTCTTCTTCTTCGGGTTTCGGAAGGACTTGGAGGCAGATGGGAGAGTTGATGAGGGATGGGATTTGAGAGGTGTTATGAGAGATTGAAGAGAAACCGGAGCCGATCGATCATTAGTGGCCTGTCTTCGACGAACTGGAAAGCACTGTGCGCATGGTTTCTGCTTCGGAGTTGCTCTTTCTTTGGAGCTCACCAGAGTCCTTTTTGATTGGTTCGTGACCTCAAGGGTTGCATCGATCATGACAGATTACGTACCCAGAAGACATCCACAATGCACTTCCACCCCGTGGCAGACTGCGTTTCGTCACGCCACGCTCGACATGTGAACCTTGATGGGAAGCCCCACTCCGGCAAATCGATCCACATGACTAGCTCTTGACGCAGAAGTCACCCAACAGGTGTCCCTGGTGGCTGTGAAATCATGGTAAACGAGTTCGAGGTCATCCCTGAAATACTCATGGGCCAACGTGGATGGCATGGCCCCTTTGGAGAGAACCTCTTTTTCAGACCAAACAGGTGGTGAACTCACTCCGCTTCCGCTTCAGGTGCCGGAATCGGCACTCTCGTGTCTTCGAGAACGCGCTCGCTATCCAACCATCACGAGGTCGCTCTTCACCAGGGATGCACATGTTTGATTCCCCGTCAGGGACTTCCTCCTGCCCTTCACAGGCGGCGCAAAAGCCCTTCACCTTGCCCTTCATCCCCGAGCTCCAGCTGCGTGCCGGCGACATCTTTGAGCCTGAGTCCAAGGCGCTGCCGGTCGTCGCAGGTGGTCGGTGGAAGCGTTCTCTTTAAGTTAACGTATTTTTGTTCCCTAGCTAACTTAGCATCAGCAAGATTTTGTGCAGATGTGAATTGAGGTTGGTGGAGGGAATGGTTACATCCAGACATATGAATAGAGATGGCTTCTTCTTATCCAGAGCATCGCTACATCGCAGATTTCACGGCGCGGGGCGCAGGAGTTGGACATCTACGAGCTCAGCGAGGAGCACTTTGAAGGTCTCAAGGAGTCGCAGAAGTGGGCTCGACGAGGCGGAGTGGTGGAGTGGAGTGCGTGGAGCGGGCAATTTCCAGCAGTGTTGTGTGGATGAGGTGGATGAGTTGAGGGCTCAAAATGCTCACAAGGAATCAATGAGCAGAGTCTGCAGAGGAATAGAGAGCTTCTTAGTGTCTTGAGTCCCGAGTGCAAATTACTGGCTTGCCATGTGTTTAGACTTGCACAGACATATTCAGTTGGACTACAAGTTGACCCTTGAACACGGATCTTCCTTTAGCAGCCAGTGGCTTTGTTCTTTTTTTTTGAGGGGGTCTCCATCCCTCAGCCCCCTTGGTACTTGTAGACTCCGGCAGGTGGCATGACCGACACCTTGGCCTGGGAAGAGAAAGTCTGCAATACCTTGGTGGCACATTATGGCACTAGTCCCCCAGATGAGGAGATGAGGGCCGTGCTGGTGGGACGTGCGTGGCTGGTGAGCTTTTCACTACGACGAAGATCAGTGGGGCAAAATCCAAAGGTCATCACCTGCTCGTAGCAGGCGCTGCAAAAAACCCTTTTCCAAACCCAGCATGGTCTCCAACCTGGCATCGCATCCTTTTCTGCCTCCCATCTCCCCCCACTCTCCCCACGGCGTCCGCCGAGGCTTGAGCAAAGGCAACTCGCAGCTCGTGCCTCGTCCAGCGCCGTCGCGTCCACGGCGCTTCACGCCCCGCGAGTGCGCGCGGCTCATGGGTTTCCCCAACAGCTTTCGGCTCACCGAGCGGACCGAGCCGCCAACCATGTGGTTCCGGGCTCTGCCACCTGGTCGAGGAGGGGGAGGGGGACGGAGGTCCAACGCCGCATGGACAGCGTGTGGTGTTGGGTGAGATGAAGGACGTCCGTGGAGAGGAGGATGGTTGAACGATCGGAAGGGAATAGCTTTTGATGAGGCAATAGGACCCAAATCCATTGGTTGGAGGCTGGAAGGCGGGTTTTCAGGGCCCAAACATAAGGACGGACACCATGTTTTTCTTCCGTGGTTGGTGTGATGGTCTTGAGACCAAAGGTGAGACTCCCTTGACCAAGATCATACTTAGTCAATCTTAAACATCTACATAATCACTTATAAATACTCTGTGCTTCTGCATTGAGCTGAACTGATACCTTGCAAATTGACCTGGTAACTCTAGTGGCCCAGTGGCAGTGGTTGTCAAGGTACCCCATTTCTTTCTTGAGAATCTTTTCCATCCAGCTCTTCCGCCGCACCGGAGCCCAGGTACAAGATGTTTGGCAATAGCGTCTCTCCGCCCCTGGTCGCCCTCCTTGCCAGCGCCATACTGGAACACCTGACCTCTTCGCCGCAGAAGGTGACCTGGAACCAGCTGGGAGAGAGCGTGGCCTTGCGCTTGGCGTTGGAGGCCGTCGCGCCGGAGCGACAAGCAAAGGTGAAGCAGATGCTGCACAGCTCCTGGACGTCAGAGAGTGGGGTCGTCTCATCAGAGTCAGAGAGTGTTTGAATCAGAGGAGTCTGAATCAGAGAAGTCGAAGTCGAAGCGGAAGTTGCTCGACGCCATGGAGAACGGCAAGCGAGAGGATGGTCTGGTGACAGATTACGGTGCATGTGAAACAGCTGAGATGATATTGAACCTGCCATGTGGCAAGGGAAGCAGTTTGTTCGCATGCGTTTTGCAACCTTCCGTCCTTTTGGTTTAACCAAGCGTTTAACACTCCTGTGATCTGCTTACTATCACCTTGACGGGCTCGTTCTGGGCGCATATTGTCCAGCGAAAAGAAGCACGACGAGGCATGTCCATAGCTGTTTCATGCTGTTACTCCTTTTTTTTGCTGGGTTGGCATGTGACGAGCCCTGTAATAAACCTTGACAGATGCAGTCACTTTGACGCTCACTGGCTTCGCTCTTATTTGAACCGTGTCAACAGCCATGCCGGAAATACAGAGCTTCTCACTTTTGTTCCCAAGTTTATGCAAGCTTCGGCGTTACATGCGGACTTGCCCGAATTCATGGCTCAGACTTCAACCGAATCGACTCCATACCACGTCTTTCTAAGTGCGTTTGCATGTATATATATATATAACTATATATATATATATAAATACCCTACGCACCCAAACACATTAAATTTTTAGGGTCGATGGAAAAACCTGAGGTTTCTGAAGGAACCCCCAGGTTTTCCAAACCAGTACCAAAATATGGGTTTAGTAGGGGTATGTACGGGGACCCGAGGTTTTAAAAACAAACCTGAGGTATTTTTGATTTCACAAGAATACTCGAGGTTCCGATTGAGACCCTACAAATTTATAGGGTTTAGGTTTCACCAGAGGAAAACTGCTATACACCAAGACCAGATTCAAGCAAGTGCTCTTGGTAGAAGAGCAGCCATGGCATTCCAGTGGAGCAGGGCATGGCTTTTGTTGCTCAGTGGCATGCTGGCCAGTGTGATTGGTGAGGGCACCAAGTTGAAAGAATGGCATGCTACTGAGAACACTAGTGATGATACTTTTTCCTTGCTCATGAAGCCAGCTGAGCAAGGACGAAGAAGCGAGCTTCAGCTCGTAGCAGCATCAAGAAGGAGAAGGAGTGACGAGAAGGAGTTGCAAGGGCACTGGAACCAAAGCAATGCTAGCCGCATGAACTTGCCAATCTGCAGGCTTTTTCCGACAGATTACTATTGTAATCGCACATCAGGTGGCGCAATGATGGCGCAAGCGATGATGTGGGAGTCCAGTGGGATTGGTGGTTGGTTTGTGCCAGTTCTGGTTCTCATGTCCTACATCGGGGGTATTTGCTTGAGTGCTTTGCTGGATGGTCTCTTTCAAAAAGATGAAGTGAACCTACCTGAAGACCCACCCAATTTGGAGCAAACTTTGGGACCTCCACGCCATTCTTCACACTTTTCAGCAGGAACAGTTACTGGCGGGGTGATCTGCCATTCGGGGCTCTTGGATGTTGTGGATGCGAGTGGAAGATGGTGGTGGATGGCGCCAGGATTCTCTCGACCTTTGGCAACAGTGAAGCTGTACATTTGCCTCTTGCTTCTGACGGAGCTCTTCTCTTTGCAGATCCCGAGCGGTAGCGTCTTATCGACCCCTGAGCTCATCTCACTGGAGCCCCACTATCCGGAACCAATCCCTGACACACCCGCAATGGCACAGTGGCTGATGCCAGGGTTTGAGTCCAACATCGCTTCATGGCTGGATTTTCTTGGTGGCCTGCGCTGGATGCTCTTGATCTCTTGGTGCGTCTTCTTGCTTTTGCCGAAAGCACATGGGCTTTGGCAAGTGGTGGCTTCCGCCTCCTACACTTGTGGGGCCTTGGTGTTTTGCTATTTCATTGTCCTCAATATCATGTTCGAGGGACATCACTGTCTCCAAGCTACCTTCTACTTTGTCTTTTCTTGCATTCTTGCGCTTCCCTTTCTGGAGACAAACCCCAGGGCGGCCAATTGGCTCTGGAGATTCCTTTTTCTCACGCTCATCCCATGCTACCTTTTTGCGGGCTTCAGTAAGATTCATTTCCATGGGCTCCGCACCAACCTCACGGGGGGGTGGCTGGTGGGCGTGATCGACGGAAAGAAGGGAGCGGCGCCCGGCTTTGTGGGCTTTGTGGCCTTTCTGAGAAGTGCCCCAGGTATACTTGGCTCTGCAGTTCCTTGGCCCTACATGTGCATGTCCTGGGGCAACCTGCTTGTCGAACTGGTCCTTCCAATTGCTGCAATGCTGAGCATGAAGCCAGACAAACTCTCGACACTCATCCGAGTGACTTTCTGTCTGGCGGCCGCAGGCTTTCACGTGCTCGTTCTTCTGCTGAAGGGGCCCAATTTCATGCATAACATCGTGTTGTTGATCATCGCGTGCAATCCTTTGTGCCTCTTCGATCTCGGGCGAGCGCCGCCAGGAGCGCAGACTGAGGATCCGTCGAAGAGCGCAGACCGAGGATCGCAGCGACAGCAGCTGGCCTCTTGGGGAGATCGTTTCAGATCAGCCTATGCCATGATCATCCTGCTCCTGTGGTATGGAGCGGACTTCCAGAATCACTGGAATCATGTGACAGGACAGGTGCCTATCAAGGACCGCAGTGAAATGCTCTTTCCCTTTCCTTCTTTCAACATGTTCACCTATGGAGGAAAAGAACCAAATCCTCAGTTGAGTTGCGGACTTTTTGTTCTGGCCTTTGTGGCCCTGCTCTTAAAGATGCTCAAAGATGTCAAGGACCAGGACAATAGTGATTCTTGATTGAAATCAACCTTGTTTCACCAAATCTACAGAACTGGCTGCACTGGAAAAGGATGATGTACTTGGACATGATGGTATTTTTTTGCATACCCATAGCCATAACTGTGCTCAACATGTCATACAGCCGAGTGAATCACAAATACGTGCGCATGGCCACCAAAGATTCTTTTTGGCCACAGCCGAACTCAGCCGATTCAAAAGCTCAGCCGACTGATTGAGCTTTTCTTGAGCTGCTTGGTTCCAGAATGAAGTTGCACCGTGCCAGGTAGGGCTCCACTCGTCTTTTTTATCTGCGAGCTCCGAAGCCGTCGACGCCGCCCACTTCGCCGCCCGAGCTCGCGTCACTCGGCCAAAGAGGTTTAGGTGACGGAGGGACGGAGCGACCGACCCGAACGTCGATGGTGTCCGGAAGGGTCAGACCGGAGACGAAGGGAGACGACAGGAGACGACAGGAGTCAGGACTGAAGGAAACAAGCAAAGGGTCCTCAAAACATTCATCCCAAACAAACCCACACCCATGGACACTGCCAATTTCTTAGTTGGGACAGTGTGTTCCTTTCAGGCCGGTTCCTGGGCGGCCGCCCCTTCGGCCACTTCCGTGGAGGAGAAGAACATCACCTGTGAGGCGGACGGTCAGTCGCCGGCACAACGGACAGTGAGGGTAGATGAGGAACCTAGAAGCTATTAGGTTGAAGGCCATTGTCATTGGTAGCAATGGCCTCCAACCGAATAGCAATGGCATCCAACCTAATAGCGATGGCCTCCAACCTAGAAAAAATCCACATCAGGACAGCAGGGTGTTGAGCTTTTGCAGTTCGAGCTTCGGTGAAGCACCTTCGGTGAAGGACCCTTGATATCAGTTTATGCCATATTTTGGAATTTTTGGATCTCACGCACTCCTGTTCTTTGGGATAGTGTTCGGGTATTGCTCAAGGGTTTTGAGTTTCGTTTTGGTCAGCTAGTTTGACGTGAGAAGGTGACTGATCAGAATGCCTTTTCTATGGCCTTTCTTGGGTCAAAAAGAGCCCTAATTACCTGGCAGGTCGACGGTCGACCTCCCTGTTCACTAATCCATTCTGTTCATTTTCTGTGGGAACTGGTCGGTCCCCCCCAGTTGGGACCCACAGGGGCAAATGAAGCATCCAGTTCGTGGAAATCCACTGCATTGATCCTGGGGATGCCCTGCTCCTGGCACCAGTTTATTGCACTGACTGAACCTCTCCGCCATTGGTCTTGTAAAGACTACAGTATCCTGTTCCTGCTTGCAATCTGTGTCGGGCAAACTAGTACCCATCCACTATCTCTATGCCCCCATTTACACACAATATACAGTATTCAGACTGATACTATCTACTAGTGGCAGGTCAATCAATCCAAATCGGAGCACCCTGCAGGAGTAAACGGATTAGTTGACCCCGAACAGCGTTTTCATGTACGACATTTACAATGCTTCTTCCCTTCGACTTTTTTGTTCTGACATGGATGTGGGTCAAAAAAGGTGTCCTCCAAATAGTAGGTTCACACCGCTGAAAGAAGGGGTCCATCTTGTTGTGGATGTGGAACGATGCCAGAAACTCCTCTTTCGCGGAGGCCTTCCTTTGGGAGGCTCAAGAAGAAGCACATGAACTGCGGAGGCCCTTCGGTTTTGAAGGAGTGTAGAAGGAGATGAAGTATGTTTACCTAGTAACTGGGCTGTGAAGATCAAGTAGAAGGACAGTTGTTGAGGGATCAGACGAGGCATCTGTGCGCCTGAGAGTGGATTTTGTACATGTCGGAAGGTTCATTGAGACCCAGACACTCTCCATGCCCTGGTCTTGGACCAAATTCGATCCTCGATCTCTGATTTCGACACTGGATCTGGCATTGTTAGACTGATCTTGAATCTCCAGACCTCAGAAACACCTGGTCTTGTTTCTGTGCACCTCCGGCCTTCGATTTTAGATCATCCGATGAGTCTCAGTGGACACTGAGCTCGCCCCCTCGGCCCTTCCTTCGATCGTCCAGACCCGTTCGCCGAGATCCACGGTCCAGGCGTCATGAGCAGCTCCAGCTGCACTTCCGCACAGCGCTGGAGGCGCGAGCGAGCGAGCGAGCGAGCTGGGGGTTCGAAGCAGCTGCTTGACTGAGAAGATTGGAAGATCGTCGTTTTGGTGGCAGTTTTGGACACTTTAGGAGTAGCATTATGAAGAGTGTTTCTGAGCCGATTCGGGCTTTCCTCTTGCCACGCCGCTCGAGCGTTGCCACGTTGCTCGCGCAGCCAAAAATAGCGATCGTTTGAAACTCCTGCGGTGTTTTGGACAGGACTCCTTCTTGTTGGAGACACATCACCACTGGAAGCGAAAAAAGAACAGTTTTCGGGACACAAACAAGGGTGTTTTGTTTGGCACCGGCAGGCGGCCACGCAGTGGGTCCGTTTCCTGAAGACCGCGTGGCTTGGCGGGTCAGCTGCGACGGTGTTCATTTTCGTAACGAGGTTCAAGGAGAGCACCAAAGAAGAGAGGCTTTCAACGTCCAGACCAAGAAAAGAGAGAACGCCTGGCCGCCTAACCAACACAATTCTTATGGATCTTATGGGTGCGCAGGCCACTGCCACTTCTTTGTGCATCCTCTCGGGGCTTTTTGTGTCCCCCAGCAAGGCTGCATTTAGAATGGAGACTGGAGTCTTGTCTTGGCTGCGGTCTTCAATGCAATCACGTGAAAGGTTTTGCTGGTTCAGGCGTTGATTGCCTCAGGCAACGACATGAGTTTAGGTTTATCCTTTGACTGTCGACTGTTTGCTTCTGTTGGATCATTGCGGGTTGGTGTCTCAGCATGCCACACGTTGATGCATGCATGCACACCTTTCTTTGGTTGGACTTATGTTTTTTAATTTGCACTGGCACTTTCTTGAACAGATTGTATACCAGATGGCTTAAAGCTTGGTAAGCCCAAGCTTGGTCTTTTCGCCATATCAAAGGTGTTCTAGCTCTACAGGTATCTCTTCAAAGGTGGTTTCAGGAAACGACTTGTGTGCTTTCACTGCCCAAGAAGGGTGGCTCTAGAAAGGGTCCGAAGCATGCTTTTTGAGCTCGAACTGACGGGTCGTTCTGTGAAAACTCTGTGTGTGGCCCGGGGCTTCTAAAAGGTCGCCTTTGCACCGGATAAGGATGTCTTTTTCTTTGTCTCTAATAGCGATGGCCTCCACCTAGTAGCAATGGCCTCCAACCTAGAAGCTATGGCCTCCAACCCAATAGCGATGGCCTCCAACCTAAATAGCGATGACCTCCAACCTAGCGATGGCCTCCAACTTCCTGTACAAGCAAATAGTTGCTCGGAAATCCCTGGGTCCTGTGGTCCCTTGGCATCCGCAAGTCGAGCCACTTCGGAGTCAGGCTGGCCAGCAAGACTCCACAGGATCATCGGCTCTGTGTGGAGGCGAGGGAAGGCTCTAGGCATTGAGTGAAGACATTCATAGGATAAACCGCTAGGTTCGTGGGACGCATAGAAGTCAGCGTCGCATGATTCTCGGATGGTTCTTGGCGCGATTGCCACTCATCTCGAAGCACACCCCAAGTCCTGTTTGTTCAAGACATTCGTTCAAGTGCTGCTTGAAAACTTTTCCATTTCACAGAGCAGCGGGTGTGGAAGATGGTGATCTGATTTTGTGAGGTTTCTGCGATACCCTTGGACTGTGTTCTCATGGCTTTTTCAGGGGCAGACCATACCTGTCACTGATCCACTCTGAGGTTTGTGGCTGAGGTCCTTACAGGTCCCTCCAAACAAGGGCGGAAGGACCGGGTTTGGGCGGTTTGGGGTTTGAAGGGTTTGGAGTATGTAGATCTTCCTACCCCAATGGAGGCTGGCCCATATTACGCCTCCTGGGAGGCAGCTCGCCCTGGGCAGAAAGTGCTGCAGGTGGGGACGACTGTGCGTGTGAACACCAGGCGTTGAAGCTGCTTTCTACTTTGGTGGCCTGTCACTGCTGGATGAAATGCAATGTCTTTTTCTTGTCTTGGCCATGATTTGGGTTTAAACTGCAGACATGGCCGTGGATCAAAAGAGGTAGTACCTTGGTGACCCCCAACAAGAACATACAAGAACAACCTACGACGAGTGGTAGTGGGACAGAGGCAAACCACTCCAAACGATGGTGAACATTCCAGCCGACCATTTTTCTTCATTTCTCCTTGGGTGTGGCGGTTTTAACCCCCAAGTCATCTTCCCACCTCCTGTATGTCGGGGTTTGTGGCGATTTGATGACATGTTGGAGCCGCACTAGTCGAACTGTGTCAAGGCATGTACCGAAGTCCGCGAGTCCGACGAGGTTAGAACAAGTACCGTGTCAATCCGACGCACCCGAAAGCGCGCCCAAAGCGCTGGTGAACTTCCCGTACGGCACGTCCCGTCCACCGTACCACCGTCACGTCCCGTCACGTCCCCTCCAGAACTGGACGGTCTGGACACGGTCAGCGAGCTGACTCTCGGACCGTGCCGATGGGACCGTCCTTTGGGTTGTTCGGCGAGTTGACTCACGCGCATCCCGGTGTTGGGCTCAAGCGCTCGGCCCCAGCGCCACCGGCGACCGCGCCCCAAGTCCATATGAAACACGGAACAGAAGAGGCGAGCCGGTGACAGGGCCTGGCAGTTTTACTTTTTGTTCTGAAACAATGGCAGCCCTGATGAAAACCAGCCAACATCGGAGAGCCTAAGAGAGTGAAGTCAATTTGATCGAACTAGCTTTTTGGAAAATGCAATTTTGGGTCATTGTGGATCCTTGAAACCTCGTTCTTCACTGTGTGTTTTGTTCGCTGCTCAATAGGCACGTCCCGCACCAACGTCCAGCTTTGTCCACACCGGCATTTGTAGGAACTCTTCCACTTAGAACTATTGCGAAGATTGGACTTGGAGTTGTTCCTTTCAAAGAAAACGCTCTGAAAGCGCCCTGAAACGAAACCACTCTTCTTACTTTCATGCCAATCTTTTCCAGTGCTTTCCTTGAAAGATCAAGAGATCCACTTACAGCCAAGCGAAAGGATTTGCAACACTTCACTCACTGTATTCCCCTTCTTTTTCTTGCTCTTTTCCATCTTCATGCGGCTCGGGAAGGCGGCTCTGCGCCGCATGGTCCGGACCTAGCCTCACCACGTGACCCCCCCCACGGCCGGTGGTGGTGGTTTCGGCGCCAGGGCGACCTCGATAGATTCGATCGAAAACGACTGGAGACCAGGAACAATGTTTGACTCGCATGTGGAACGCTTTTTTTCAGAACCTGACAGGATGCGCTTGGCATGGCTCCTCGTCTTCGCGTGGCGTCTGCACACGTGCGCCCACGCGTCCACGCTTGCCGTGATACTGTGGAGTCAGGACTCGGCCGTGTTGGATGATGTGAAACCAGGTGCCTTTTTTGCTGATGTGCTTGGCACATTTTCTCTTGGTTGGAGCGAGAACACGGCGGAGCTGGGAAGAACACTTTGGTGTTAGAGCCCTTGAGATTTGATGATTTCCTAAGAGTTGTATGAAAGAAGCTCTTCCAGTTTGCAGGGACCTCTGATTAAAACCAACCTATGAGTCCCATGAGTCTTTCTTTGTGGCGCAGACCCTTTCAGCTGATTCTTGAGGTACGGGCAGAGCTGCGAGCTGAGTGAGCATTTAGAGACTTGGACCTTCGAACCCCCCGGCTGAACCGGTGGGGAGTGGGGTTGCTGGCTCGCTGGGGTGCCAAGGGGGGATCGCCTGGGACTGGTCGAGGAAAAAATCACGAAGCACTGTGAAGACAGCGCAGGAACTTCAGGATTAGCGCATCGTGTTCGCGCAAGAACTGTTCGCTCCGCAAAGGTGGAACCACGCGGGGAGGCCCTCGTACTTTCAGCTTGCACTTCCCATGCCGAGCTTTTTTTGCGATAGCGCGCAGAAGTCCCATCTGAGATCGCCTTTTCGGGTTTTGGCCATGTGGGTCTCTTTGCTGGAGGCCATCGTTATTAGGTTGGAGGCCATCGCTAGTAGGTTGAAGGCCATTGCTATTGGGTTGGAAGCCATTGCTAGTAGGTTGGAGGCCGTCGCTACTAGGTTGGAATTATTTTGGAGGCCATCGCAAGTAGATCCGAATCTGGGCGGTCGCGACAAGAGGGGCAAGTTGGATAAAGGCTCCTGGACCCCGTGGCGGAAGAATGTAGACAGCGTGTCAACGAAATCCCCCTAACAAGAATGGTTCCACATCTTGGAATATGTTTTTAATGAATCAAGAGTCACAGTCTACACATGATTGACTCCTTGGGCGTCAATACAAACTGTGAACCTCTGGCCACTGCGAGCTCGTCGGGGATTCTGGGATCGCACCAGGCTTCGTCGTGGGAGGAACGGGGACACGAAGACAACGCCACCCAGGCCACCTTTTGTGGTCAGGGAAGATCGGAATAACGGGAGGTCAGCGGCAGTTCCAATCAGGTCTCCAGATTGGCTGGGAATTGCCGAAAGAAATTGGCTGTGGCTCTTGATCCTTTGCGTCCATTCCCTTTAACCTTCAGCCCCTCCATGCCCAACCCAGCAGAGCAACCTGCACAAAGCCTCAACAAAGAAGACCTGTGAAGACCCTTTGAACTAGAAGACTAGCTTCCTTTGCTAAAAGCAGCAGAGCAGAGTTGTCTCAGATGTCATGTATCAATCCCACCGCACCCCTTAAAACACCCGTTTCTTTCATTCCCGCTTGAACGCCGCAGCTTGAACGCCGCAGCTTGAACGCGGCCTCTCAGGATGCCTTGGAACTCGTGGAAGAGTCGGAACCTCTTGACCTCCACAGTCTGCGCTTGCTTCAGGTGCCGCCCGGGCCGGTCCACTCCAAACTACCCAAATGGCGGCCGGGTCATGGCACCCGGCCACCCGCTACCTAGCTGGTTGGTCCCACCGAACATGAACCGATTCCTCTCTGTTCGGAAGATGGTCAAGCGAGCTCCCATGGGGACTGGTGGGGGGAGCTGCCGTGACGAAAGCCACATGGAGATTGGTGGGTTGGTGGCGTTTGACCACCTGGTTCCCCCAGGTCCGGCCAAGCAGGGTCGCAGACTCCGGCGGGGGTGGGGTGTTCTCTGGATCTGTATGTTTCTTTCTTCATGAAGGCGCGACAACTTGGGGAGAGATGGAGGACGGAGATGCGAGCGGCTGAGACTTGGGGCGGAATGTGCGAGACTGGGGGTGTAGGCGAGAGGGATCTGAAAAAGGGTGAAGGTTCTCCTCAAAGTCCTTCCATCCATTGGCCAATGCCCTATAGGCCCTATAGGATGTTCACCCCTTTCTTTTCAGACCGAGAATGACCAGTGAGGTGCAACAGACGCTGACGCAGGGGAACGTCAGCACGGCCATGGTGCCTTGGCTGCGGTGAAGGAAGGAATGGCGGCCTCTGAACCGGAAAAACAGCGTTGCGTCAGCGGATCTGACAGGCGGATCTGACGCAACGCAGCAACGGGTGGAGAGTGCTTTTTTGATTTGCTTCTTTTCATCATTCTTCCCCTTTTGACGGTGGAAAGATGCATGGGTCACCATGAAAACCACGGACGGGTCACCAGTGACAAACCATCACAACTTATAGCTCAGAGTCATTCGCAGCCTTTGCAGTATGCTTTGAGTGGCTGCTTTATTGCTTGCTTGACATTGACATAGGCATTCTTAACCAACCTAAATCCCACTGGCACTCACCCGGCACATGTCCCAGTTGCCACACATAACCAATGTAAGGTTCCTTCCTCTTTGGCGGACGCGAGCGAACGCGAGCGAGTTGGGGTGGAGAAGATCCCACCCTTTGCCCCAGGCACCACGGAATTCGACTGGACTCACCCAGCAAGGCGAGGCTTTCAGGGTCGGGGGCAGAAGCTGGTCGAGCAAGGGCGGAGTTGGCCAAGGCAAGGGAGGCATGCTGATTCAGTGAAGCTAGGATAAGCTAGGTCACTGGAAGGGCAGTGGTTGGGGGCGCTCAACCATGAACCTGCTCATACAGAGAATTTCTTTCGTCTGGCTGATTTTGTCCGGCACGTATCGGTTGAAAACTGTTGTCGGCCTGTGGGTACTGCTACAACTACAACTACAACATACTACAACTACTACAAGAACTTAACAAGACAATGCACTTGGTTGGTTGTGTATCTAATATCTTGCTTGATCTTGCTTGTGGCTGTATGACCAGGTTCCAACCCATGAAATAATTGCTGGGCTGTCAAAGTACCAAACGCTGTAAGCAGACTCTTAATATCATATATATATATATACATGATATATGCATATTACATAATGTATAGTGTAGTAAACCATCGTAATTAGCAACTTGCACCTTTAAAACATGGACTCACCATCAGCCAAAGGAGTCCTCCATTCTTCCCAGCACTGTCTAGTACTAGTATACCTGGAATCACTGGACTGTTTGTTCATTGGATGCCACTGACTGAAAAGCACCGGCTTCAGCCCTGTCACCAGCGCTGGAGGTTCCGGGTCAGCTTCCCGGCCGCTGAAAAACTTCACTCGGTTCATCCATGCGCCCAACATGTGCCTTATCTCCGGGCGGGTAGCGCGAGCAGGGGGGGTCAGGAAGTAGTAGTAGTAGTAGCAGTAGTAGTAGTAGCAGCAGGAGTAGTAGTAGTAGCAGCAGGAGTAGTAGTAGTAGTAGTAGTAGTAGATTAAACCATGATGATATCGGTGGTTGCGGAGATTCCTGCATTCCCGACATGAAAATCCATGACATGGATGGATGGGCTTTGCTTGTTCCTTTTTGGAGCATGATATGTTTGCCCGAATTTCATGCAGAGTCCTTTCCTCTTTTCCTGGCACATTCAACCCATTGCAGACTTCAGAGTTATTGGACATTTGCAGCAGTCAGGAACGTGATAGACTTTCTGCCAGTGTATGTAAAGCGCGATAATTTGCAGTGTTGGGCAGTGAACGTGATGTTTCAAAGAGCAGGAACTTCCAAAGGTTCTTTGTGGGACGGCCCAAGTTCTGGGACGCGATGTTGTGGTGTTTCTGTTGTTCCGACGTGTGTCGGGATCGCAACAAGAGAATAGAAACATCCATCCACTGACGACGGGCCCCACAGCGGGGTGGGAAGATACTGATCACTGTTTGCTTCGTTGGGGACAGTTATCTTCATGTACACGGATTTGCGCCCGCTTAGCTAGGGCTTGCAAGAGTCTCCAATTTCCAGTGTGACCTTTTGCTGTCCCCCTGGGTCAACCAAATCGCCAGCAGTCGAAAAAAAACAAATCCCCAACATCGGCCATCCTGTAAAAGAGGCCATTGGCAGTGAGCTGTGCCTGTCAAGCCGACATAGGAACACACTCCTTAGAGTGAAGCGAAAACAACCCAACGCGCATTTCCCAGCGTACCCTTTACGCGGCGATGATTTTGGCCAGGCAAATTCTCATACCCTGTTTTCACACGTAGGGGGTTTGTTTTTCAGGGTCCAATTCTTTGGGCAGCCTTATCTACATCGGCACTGTCTACCTCGTTGCCTTCCAACTGTTGCTAGCCATCCACCGGAAAAAAAAGAACAGCACCATCCATCTGTCCGCCCCTTTGGTCGAGGCGTTGGGCTATCCTAGCGCTGGGTTTGGCGGTCTGGATCATGTTGGGCTCATTGGTCTTGGGCCTTTGGTATCTTTGCTGCTTGGCACTGCTGGGCGATGGTGTCTTGTCGAGTGCCCCATGTGGGAGAAATCACGAATTCCTGCGACATGAACTCTCCCAATGACCAATTTCTTTGACACCTGAAAGGGCGTGTCATCTTTGCGAAAAGACCTGGCCGCTTTCGGCCCACAACGCTTTTCCTTTGCTCAGGTCGTCAACGGCAGAAAGACGAACCTTCTATGGCCTTCAAGGCACTCGGATCGCTGTGGCTACTTTCACTGTGGCGCACCCGCACGAGGGGGCGGAACAAGCGCGGGGCTTCACTGGGTGGGAGGAACCGTTCCCTTAACAAACGATGGAAGATAGATTGCTACACTGACCACGAGGATGCGTACGATGTGTTCAGCTCTAATTTCAAGGACGAATGAAACGAGCAGACCCTGTAATTACATCATCATCATCATCACCATCATCATCATCATCATCATCATCATCACCATCATCACCATCATCTTCGCAACCTGTGGGTGTGTCGAACTATACACTTCTTTCTCCATTTGGAGGTCTCCCTTGCGCTACTACACTCATTGCATCAACCTGGCAACACCCCAAAAACTATCGACCCTTTCGACGGGTTGTGTCACCGTCATTGCTGAGATCATTCAGCAAAAACTAGCTGTTCAGGGATTCCCTGGACATCAGAACTAGTTGTTTAGGGATTCTCAACCCCTCGGCAGGTCACCTGTGCAAGCTTCGTAGTGCTGGCCGCCATGGCCGCCAGCTGGCTTGCAGACCCTCGGCTTGGGAGGACGAACCATGAGAGAGAACAACCTTCAGCTTTGTCACTTTTTCTTCGTCTTCTTTCGGTCGTCGTGTCGTCAGCATCGGCGTTTGGTCGTCGTCGCCGTCACAGTCGTCGTCATGGTGGTGCTGGTGGTTGTCGTCATAGTAATAGCTGCCGGAGGAAGAGGAGGAGTAAGATGGAGGAGGAGTAAGGTGGAGGCGCGACAACATCCACTACAATCACCAAGCATTATTTGGTGGTCCAGAGGTATAGAGTTGGGTGAACGACGCTACATTTACATTTCTCAGTTGCGTTCGCAAATTTGCTCACGTGTCGAAACCATTTGCGAGAAAGTCCAGTAACCTATCCAAATCATGTTTGCAAGAAATTGCTTTGAGGTTGATTAGGGTGCATGGCATGGTGCACCCAGAAGAAACACATTGAAAGGAGCTGGACTCAACTTCTGGATATAACTGAATGAATCAAATGGATCTGTTGCTCCTTGACATCAGAATACCTTGGTGTGTCATGAGGGTGCTTCTCACGCCCTTAATGGTTCTACGCTTTTGTCTTCAGGCCAAGCTTTAAGGCTCTCCTCACTCTTGAGACGCAGCCAGCTTTGGGACGGAGTCCTTCCGGGACGGCTTCAGGCCGAAAAGGCATGTTCGCGTGAACCGGCCGAACACCTCGCCATCGCTCGCCACGCTTCGTGCACAGCGCCGAGATGTGGTACTTCGCGGGTGCGCTGATGAAAAAATGGCTGATGGAGTATGATGTGGCCTTCTTGGGGGTGGATGTTGCTTGGATTTCCACATCAGATGCCCGGCACATCGTGGCCGGCCGGTGTGGCAACCTTGGCTGAAATGGCTTGACACCATGTGTTTCTTTTTTTTGGTTTGTTTCTGAGGAGTTGAAGTTCGTTGGGTCGCAGTATATAGTTTGTCTTCTAAAAAAGTCAGTGCTTGCTGGCGTCCGAAATGTGGATTTCCAGACATCAAAATCGGGCAGGGTTCTTTTTGAGCTCTCACTCCCATTCCCAAATCAACAGGATGCAACAACAATATGTAATATGCAATGATACATATACGTACACAATGAAAAAAACACCTCCTTAGTTCGACCCTCTTGAAGGTTCGAGAAATAGATCAACACCGGCCCATTGCTCTTTATGAAAATAGACACCCATATCTACAAAGATCTACCATTCATGCGCAGAGAGATGTTTGCCTTCTGTAGTCACTGTAGTCACTGTAGTCATTGAAGACTATCGAACAACTAAGCATTGAAGGGAATCGTGAAGCAGTGTCATTGGTCTGCACATTTGCAAGTACTTTCCCAACCCCATGCCACGATGCTTATCTCCTTTCGTGGAAAGCTAGCACATGGCTGCGAATCAGAACATCTGCCTTTGGTGGACCACTTGGCCAGTCTACAAACAGTTGGCCTTCGTTGGCCGCCTTCGAGATGAGGGTCAGAGTCGGCTCATGTGTGAAGCCCAAAAGCCTTCTGCAGCTGTTTTTTGGACCCACTCTACTGCACCTACTGTACCCCGAAAGATGCTCTGCCTCAGACATCATATTCCAAGACCAAAGAAGGTTGGCACAAGGAACGGCCGCCATGAACTCTCAGCCGGCCGCCATTGATTCGATCCTGTAGAACCGATTGGTATACGGTACCTGGCAACGACCCCTCTATATAGTCATCCCCTTCGTACGGACATTACCATCCGCCCCTGAACTGGTCCCGACAGCGGCTGTGCAGAATGGCTTCTAAGAAGACACTCTGGCACCTAAGGGCTTGGAACGAACCAAAGGGTGGCGGCCGAGTTGCGAACCGGGACGCACAGAGTCACTCTTGGCCACGTGGCTACCCCAGGTGCCGGTCAAGACCGATGCTATCGGGATGCAACCACCATCTTGTTAGGGTGTCACTCTGTCACTCGTCATGCTTTCGTTGTATCCATACCTTCATCCGCATCCACTGGACCTGATCTTATTCTTCGTTTTCATGTGCGTTTTTTCCCCGATGTCGTCTCGCCATCTCTGAATCTCAGTTCAGTTCCGTTCGGATCGGGCGTCGTCGCGGCGTATGTCTTAGTTTCATCCGAGGTTTCGGTGGACCGGATCGTCTTGAACCCTTGGTTTGGCACGCTCTTGGCCACCAATCTGACCATCGGCCCGGGACCGGTCGGAGTCGTCGTCCCGTTTTTCCTTCGGCGCGCTGGGTTTAGCGGAGCCGAAGACCGGGAGGCACCATGACACAGTGGAGGTTCCCCAAGGCTTCTGCAAGGCCGCAAGGCTTGATAGGACGTTTTCATGCAAGTTCGTTCATGCAAGTATCGCAGCTGTTGTTTTTCGATCGGAACTTCACCCCTTTAAACTGACAGAACGACCTCTTCCATGAAAAAAGCACCATGTCGTAGAGGGGTCTTTGTGGTTCAGTTCAGCTGAGAAATCTTTGGTATGAGAAGCACAGTCACGGTGCTTCTCTTCTTTGAGTCCAACAAACCCGATGGAACAGTTGCGATGGCATAGCTGGCTCACCCAAATGAAATCCTCGACAGAGACTCTACAGTCACTGGGCTCGGATTTCGACTCCTTCAGAGACTCCAACCAAAGCTAATTCAACCCAGTCCAAATTTAATGCATCAAGTCACCTCTCCATCCACAAGCACCTCACTTGCCAGGCAACCCGCCTGGCTACACCTCTCAGCACTTGGCACACGTCCAACGTCTCTTCATCAATGTGGACATGGGCAGTCTGGTGAAGTCTCTCGCCCATAGGCACATCGGGACTGCAATCGATTCTGCTTCCTAAGAGTGACATAGATGCAGAGACATGTTCAGACTCTTTTTTGCATTGGGTTGCCTTTTAAGTCTATAGATGCTGTAGATGCCTGTAGGTCTTTCCACATATGGCAAAAAGCATAACATTGAAGCGACGCACAATCTGAAGATTTGGAGGAATTGCTTGTACTACTCATTGATTGGACATCTTAGATACTCCATACTAACTTCAAGATACTGTGATGATAGATGTGTTCAACATGTACCTGGATTGCAGCATAGATCCTGGGTAGCAGGGCTCTATACTTACCAAAGTCATGCTTATGCTCTTCCTGGTTCCTCCTTCAGATGGTATGCTCTTCTAGTAAGGGCAAACCCAAGAAATCAGGGAGCTTGCTGTCTGTGTGCAGATCTGATTTCTTGTCAGAAGGTCAATGTTGGATGGATGTTCATGTGGCCAATTTCGCCCTCATGGGTGCTGACAATTCCCAAAATCCCTCTTGGCACCCTTGAGAGGTTCAGTGACACTGAGGGTTTTCCACAATCAAGCTCATTCCAAAACTAAAAAACTGTCTGCTGCTGTCTGCTGCTCAGACACACACACACACACTTCGAACTTGGATTGTCAGTTAACGCAATTTCCCAAGGAAA